ACTATTTCAAACTGCTGAAACAATTAGTATAATTCATTAGTGAGAAATCAAAATACATCAAATAAAGGATATGATGGAGGTTGACTTGCCCAACTTCCCTACTAGAGGACAACTCGGATGAGTGAGTGTTGAGGTTGGCGGACTGATCTACAAGAAGCAAGAGATTAGAGTACTCAGGGTTTGGACCTAGACTAGGAACTCTGATGCTTAAGTTAGCCGAGCTTAGTGAGCAAGAAAATAAAGGGAGATTCAAAGAGCTAGAGAGCTTGTATGCACTAAATCGCATGTACCTTGTGAAGGTGAGGTTCCTTTTTAGAGGCTATAGGGTCCATGAGCCATGTTCGAGATATCTAGGAGCGATAGGCTTATCGGTTCGTTATCTTTGGGGCATGTTGTACCGGTGTTGGTGATGATCCTCATCGAGTCCCTCTAAATCAACTAGAACTGAGGTTATCCCTACCAAGTGGATGATGTGTCATTGTCTACTTTAGAATCGATAAGTGTGCTAACTAGATAAAGACAACCCCCCATGTAGGTCAGTACCTCAGAGGTCGGCTGGCTACCTAAGTTGGGGAGGTCAAACTGGTATCTGAAGCCCTTGACTTGCTTCCCGTGGTAACTTCTCTATTCTACTATGGAGCGACCTACCAATCTTCCATCAATTGAGAAATAGGTTGGGTTAGTCGGCTTGGGCTAGTCTGACTAGGTGCGACCTACCTGTATGTGGTGTTGAGGTGCTATTAGATAGTTCAAGCTCACTACATGGCTCTATGTGATTGGAAGGACAAATCATCCCCATTAATTACCCCCACTCCCAAGCCTGAGGTGCCAAGCTCATCGAAGAGTATAGCTCAGTCCTGGGTGATTATGGCTTAGCACTCTAACGCTGGTTGGTCATCGGATCGTGGTTCAATATAGAACCGGTCTACCCATTTTAGATAGTCTAATTGGTAATGTATTAGGCATGTGCAAACGTTACATGGGAATTAGGCTCTATGGACATAAAAAATGTGCTAAATTCATTTTTGGGCTTCGAAAGATGAACCATCACACCCTTTTGATCTGTCAGATTGAATCAATCTCGACCATTGATTGATTGGGTTCTCCGTCTATAAATAAGGGCCCATGGGGGGTCCCATTTGCATATATTTTTCTAAGCTTCGAGTAAGGTTGGAGAGCTCGGCGTAGTTGGTTAAGGTCATTGAGGTTGGTTGGTTCTTGTAGTCTTTTAGCGGGTCCTCTTCTATTTCTTTTCCTTTTCCTTTTCCTTACTTCTTAAATTATGTTGGCTAGTAAGTCTGAGGGAGAGGGACAGTAGGTTGTTCACACCGAGGAAGGATGCTCTGTTCATGAATAGCGAGGTTCCCAAAAAGGGGCCTTGATCTCCCGTTATCAACCCAAAACTAGGTCGTAGTTCGACCTGACCGAGCTTTCACCTGAGGAGGTGGTGCAACTCATAACCCAATATAAAATCCCAAATCAGTAATAGTGGTGCCTTCCTATCAAGGGCCAAATTCGTTAGGAACACAAGAAGAACGAGTTCTACATCTTTGAGCAAGCCTTGGCGGCGGAGCTCAAGTTCCCACTTCACCCCCTCATGGTCAAGCTGTTGGAGTACTATAGTATCTCAATTGCTTAACTTCACTCGAATACCATTAGAACCCTTGTAGGTACAATTTCATTCTATCACCATTGTGACTTTCCCTTTGACCTTTAAGAACTTCACCGACCTCTGTCACTTGAAGAGAAACCCCTCGACTATCACCTGAGGGGTGATCTAGACTTCCAATCACATAAAGCCACATGGAGAGCCCAAACCGTTCAATCACATAAAGTCACATGAAGACCAATGGGTCACTCCACAGCAAAACGTAGCACATCACCTCAGGGAGCAAGTCAATGACTTCATATGCTAGCTTGACCTCCCCGACCTAGGCAAACAATGACTTGAGTAACCAGTAGACCTTTGGGGTACTAACCTACATGATGAGATGTCCTTATCTGGTTAGCACAGTTATCAATTCCAAAGTAGACGACAACACGTCATCCAGTCGGTAGGGATAACCCCGATTCCACCCACTTTGGAGGGACTGGATGAGGATCATCGTCAATGTTGGTAGAATGTGTCCCAAAGATAATGGATCCCAAATATTATAAAAAGGCACCTCATTGCCTTTATGCGCGATTTAGTGCATAAATGCTTTCTATCTCTTTGAATCTCACTTAGCTTTCTTGCTCACTAAGCTCAGCTAACTTAAGCATCAGAGTGCCTAGTCCAAGTCCAAACCCCTTGGTACTCTGATCTCTTGCTACTTGCAGATCGGCCCACCGACCTCAACACTCACTCATCCGAGCTGTCCTCCACCAAGGAAGATGGGCAATTCAACCTCCATGATCAGGATATGATCATAAAGACAAGAGTTAGCACCTTAAATATATGACTTAATGAGAGGGATTGAATGAAGTGAAAAGTAGTAGTTCAAATTACATTTTTTTTCCCTCACTATCAAATTGCGACCAAATTCAAAAGTAGGGGTGTTTTAATGAAGAAAAATACTATAGAACATGTTTCTTGTTTCGAACTAATAAAAGTAGTAGTTCAAATTACATTTTTACCCTCATAGCAAAGAGTGACCAATTTAAATATATAGAACAGATTGGTGAAATTGGATTTATGTATCTGACCCCATATAGTTGGGATAAGGCATGGATGATGATGATGATGAATAAAGAGTGGCCAAATACAAAAATAGGGACACTTTATTAAAAAAAAAATTCCATGGACCTATTTCCCATTTGGGTTTGATGTTGGAAAGACATGATATTGGAACATCATAAAAAGCAGTAACTAATCACAATTGGGTTTTAATCAAAATTCACAAGAGGAAGGGGTGTTTCCAGTATCATAGAGTTTTCCTTCCCACTTTTAAGAGTAGTACAAATGGGAGGTGAAATAGTTAGTAAACAAAAACTTTGTTTTTGATATTTAAAAAATAAATTAAAATAATTAAATAAATAAGGCTGCTTTTCTTGATTTTCATTAAAGAGCCATCCGGTTAAAGGTTTGGCTAAAATGAAACCTTGTATACTTGCCACAAATTTAAGGGACTTGGAAAAATCCTTTACAAAGTCCAATTTCATTAGATCGAAAATGCTTTTAAAAATCCTATAATAATACTTGCCAGATTGAGATTTCTTCCTTTAAACATTACTTCTTGTCATATATTTATAATTAATTTTTCTGTTTGTAAATTTTGTTCCTTTTAAATGGGAGGAAAATTTACACTTACATTGGTTTATGTGAAAGTGAGAGTAATTTTTTTTTTAATTGGATGAATTTTAACGGAAGGATAAGATAGTGTATATCCATATAATTGACTCCTATGGTTCAACAGTGACTCTTACAATATCGATTGTCTTAATTATCGTGCTTTCTTAAAATACACACATTTATCCCTAATAAATTTAATGAATAAAGGATAATTTATGTCCAATAAAAAATTCAGAAAATGAGACCATATTTACATCCATGCACAACCCTATTATTTATACCCTGCCCTAAAGTCTGCCTTACCCCAATCCCGTGCTGATGTAATTTATACAGACTGAGAGTAACAGGAGGGTTTTTTTTACTCAATAAGCTCCCATTATTGGGGTCTTAAATGCTCCTGTGCCTTGGAGGAAGATAATATATATTTTTCTGTTTGCTATAGATCAAAAAATATTATTTATAAAAACTGCTGCTTAGCTTTTGAGTGATTCATTGCCTCCTGGTATTACGGAAGGCCACCCCTTCACACATTCAAAGAACAATTTTATTGCGCTGTAGTCCATTTCTTCTCTAGCAAGGAAGAAGCCTCCCTTTCCCAGTCTCCCTTCCTTTCAACAATCAAGATAAAAGATGAAAGACTGGAAGTATTCACAGGTTTTTCTTTATAAGTTCAATGTGAATGGGGCTAGTAGAGGTAATCCTGGACAAAGCGGAGGTGGAGTTGTTGGAAATGCTCAGGATGCTTTCCTTTTAGCATTTCATAACTAGTATGGCCAAAAAACTGTCATGGTTGCTGAATTCATGGCTCTTTTTAATGGCCGAAAATGTTGTTTTGACCACAGCATATTAGAGATTGAAGTTGAGAGTGACAATAAGACTCTTGTGTACATAATGAAAGGTAGTGCCAGCATCCCCTGGGCAGCAACTTATATCATTAGGGGGATAAAATCCTTACTTTCTTCCTTGACTGTTCAAAGCTTTTTTGAAGATTTTCACAACTTCTTGTCATGTTGGATTCGCTAATTTATATTCTGGGATGGGTTGAGAGTCTTAGGGAGAGTAATTTATATTCTGGGTATGGGGCAAGTTGGGCCTGTTTTATCTTTATTTCTGCTTTTTAAAAATGGTTAATAAAATCTTAAGGTGGCCACCCCTCCACAGGGAATAAAGTTTGGGGTAAAAAAAAAAATGAAAAATGAAAGATAATATATATATATATATGCTTGTATCACTCAATTTCCAAGATTCTAAAGTTCTGTTATTAGCTGACTATAAGAAATATATTCAAATATGGCGGGTGGAAATTTATAAAGTTAGTTCATGGAATAAGTTCTAAGCACACAGAAAAGCTTGATGTCCTCCCCCACCATGATTGTCGGGTGGCAAGGAGAGATATCATATGGTGATACTTCGTAGCCTGGGGGACTATTACCTTGAACTGTTAAACACCATTGATTAGGAATTACAATATTAATAAGTTCAGCCTATTGTGTATATATGCCTCTATAGAATTGAAGGATACATACAGAGACTGTAACAGTGGCTACAGGCTTACAGCTGATGCGAGCTCTGGTTCATATCCTAACAACCCTACCCACCAGAGCACCAGTATACTGATATTCTTTGAACACGGATCCTACTATTAATAATTTGTCCTTTCTGCCGGCCATGCTTATTTTATATTATTTTTGTCGGTATAGCAGGTTATTATAATTCACCGTCGATAAGCTATAAGCTACAGGCATTTGCATTCTCTTTATCTCTTGTGCTTTCCTTCTGGCATTTCAATGGCTTCACCCATGAAAACCAGTGAAGTTTCTTTACTTCCCACTTCCATCACTACTTCTCCATGGACGTACGATGTCTTTCTGAGTTTCAGAGGAGATGACACCCGAACGACCTTCACCGAGAGCCTACACACGGCTTTAAAACAAAGAAAGATCGAGGTTTTCATAGACTACGAACTCAGCAGAGGAGAAGAAATTAAACCAGAACTCCTGAAAGCAATCGAAGACTCAGGCATTTCCATCATCGTCTTCTCGAAGAACTATGCTTCGTCTTCATGGTGCCTTGACGAACTCTTGAAGATCATGGAGTGCAGAGAAAATATGGGTCAGATCGTTCTTCCTGTTTTCTATGACATCGATCCGTCCTACATCAGGAAACAAAGCGGGAGCTATGCGGATGCTTTTGCCAGGCACGACAACGACAAGCGCTTCACAGAGGAGAAGTTGAAAGCGTGGCGAGAAGCTCTCACCAATGCTTCCAATTTAGCTGGGTTCAATCTACAAAACGAGTACTCCCCAGCTCTCACTCACAATCTTTTTTTTTTGTTAATTAATCACTTAATTCTGTGGATGCATTTGTTCTACATGCTTTCTTACTTTTAACTTCAACAACTTAAACAAGTTTTTCACTGATCTGTTCAAAATTAATATGTAAACAGTTCAAAATTATTAAAAATGGAGATTCGTGAAGGAGGGGTTGTTTTATTACATTCATATAAGTTTCAGACCCGACTGTTAGAGTGTCCCTACGTTGCCATTGGAATTAAAGCAAGGACAGCTCTCTCTATATATTTTATATAAATAATATAAAAACCTTCGTTGTAGGCTTGTAGTTTACCAAAAATCTGCAGTTACCCCCTTTGCATCAATATTTTAAGTAATTAAGACTTCAAAGTTATTAAATTACCCTTGGGACATCTTTCTATATTATTCAAAAGTGTTGGATTTTCCCTTCTAAACTTATCTAGACTTAACATTTTTATAGAATAATTAAAATTCTAACTCCAAGATTTTTTAAGTTAAAAGTGAAAATTTCTTTTTAAGGTATTTTAATAAATTCTCATCTAAATTGATAAATATAAGGGTAAAATGGGTACTTTCATAAAATTAATACATTTTTTTTCTGTATTTGGTGCTATGCACCATTAATATTTAACTTTCCTGACCTCTTTTTCTCCAAAATAATAGTTACAGGATTTAATTCTATATCAACATTGAAACAAACCAGCTAATACACCAACGAACCAACCCTCAGTTAATATAAAACTAGTACATTAAGCCAAGTTTTCCATCCATACAATAAGAAGAAGGAGGTAACTGCAGATTTTTTCAATATTACAGGCGAGGTTTTTGTGAAATTAAAACTTAGGTAGGTTATTATGATATTGTCAGGAGACAACCGACAAAGGTTGGCTGTTTTCAATAATTTGAACAGTGGTGAAAATTAATGTGATGAAAATTTTTTAAATGACAAGAAAATACAATCAATTTGTTGTCATTTCATCATATCATGATATTTTTACGAGTCTCTCCTTGATGTGGCCCATCCTATGTTGGTCCCAATCTTCCATTCCAAATATCCAAAATGGAAGGATATATATATGAAGATTGTAGCGGGTTGCAACTACGGGATCCTATGTCAAATTCAATATTAATTGTTCATAGTGATACCTTATTAACATTAGTATTTTTTATTTAAGTTTTAATTGATTTAGGATTTAAATTGTTTATGAATTTTTAATAATTAGCAGTTGTAATACAAAAAAGGCAAAATAATAATTGACAATGCAAGAGAAATTAAAAATATAAAGTTTTATAAATGCATGCAAGGGGAGATTTGTTAACGGCTGAAATATTAATTATTGATTTATCTTTTAGACGTCTAGTGAATAAAAATAGTGATATAACAAAATATTTAGGGTTATAATAGTCAACCCAAAATGCCATTCAGCCTAGAGCTCCCAACCTACTTATAGAATGAGTCATTCACTTAAAAGACAAGCAATAAGTCATTATACTAAAACTGGTGGGGAACCATGAGTGCACAGGCTTTGTTAAGACACATAATAGAAATTTTTTTTATATTTCAACTTTTTAAAAAACTAATAATTATTCATATTTTATATACTATTAAAAAATTATATAAAAATAAATAATTATTAAAAATAAATTTAAAATATACAATAAATACTGAAAATATATTAGATTAATCAATAAATAGTGTAATATCTAATAATTATTGAAAATTTACAATTAATTAAAAAAATGAAATATATTTATACATAATTATTGAATATATTTATCACAAAAATACAATAAATAATTACTGAAAGCACAATAAATATTAATTTTAGTATATATAAATATATAATAGATATAGATAAAGATTTTAAAACTATTATAATAAATATTAGTTTTTCTAATAATTATTGATTGATAGAAGTGAAATAATGTTTTTATTATTAGTACAATAATAATTGTAATTATTATTTTATTTTTTAATATCTATTAAAAATATTTTTTGAATGTTATAACATATTTTTTATTTGTAAGGTTCAATACCTCTAGATTATTTAATATATTTTCATTATTTCAATAATATTTAAAAAATTTTGAATTATTTATATTTTATAATCCTTTTATCATATTCTATGAAATATATTTTAATTATTTTTTGTGTTTTTAATATATATTTTAATTTGTTACTTAACTTTGTCATTTAGTCTACTTTTTTTATTAAATAAGATTTAACATACGATTTAGTTATTAATTTTTTATATTTCCATAAAATTTTAATTTATACTGTTATTACCTAATTTTATTTCTTGATTATATAATATATAAAATATTAAATATATAAACATAAAATATCAAATTTTTATTAGTTCAAATGTTGTGAAATATATTGTAATTATTTTGTTATTAAAATATTTAAATAATATTTTCAATTTTAAGTTTTTAAAATATTTATTATTTTAATAGCATATAAAGAAATTGTATTTATAATTTTAAAATATTATTTTCTTGTTAAATTAAATAATCCATAGAATTATAATTCATATTGTATTGTTATTACATAATTTTGTTATGAATTTTTTAAAATATATAATAATTAATAGCCTGAATATGATTAAATTTATTATTATTATTTTTGTATTTTTACAAATATTTCAAAAATTATTATATAATTTCATTATAATATTTAAATAATTCTTAAACGTTTTAATTCAAGCTTTCTTTAAATAGATATAGATGAGAAAATGGGTGAGAGGATAAATAGGAAATAGAGATAATTTAGGAGAGAATAATGGGTGTGCTTTTCTAGAGATAAGGTTCTTAAATCATTTTTTTATGAAAAAATGGAGGAGAGAATAGAAGGAAATTAGAGGAGTGTAGGACTCCAGTAAAGGGGATAATGATGCCACATGCTAGACATTAGAAAAGCAGTCCTCCCTTTCTTTATCTATTGGTTGTTTATAAAATAGACATCGAATAAAATAAAATTAAAAATTTAAGAAAAGGAAAAGCAAGATGGCTTCCTTGTTTTAGTATATAAAGGGCACATCATAACATATCTTTAGTTCATTGATATGTTTTATATAAATAGTTTGATAACTTAAATGTTTTTAGATGAAAATGGATGATGTTGTAGGTCTCTTATAATTTTTTTTTAAATAATAGTTTTAATCAAATGAAACTCTCCATACCCAAAATTTTCTTACAAGAGTACGAGAACCATGATTCCTTGTAGCTGATTGATTAAAAAATAAATTGTAATGAGAGCAACTAAATTTTGTTTTCATTAATTACTAGATTCACCTAATTATCAAAATTATAAAAATTGATTTACCTAAATTACCAAAATTAATTTCCAAAACAATCATAATAACAACAATTGAAATACCAAAAATTACGAACATTATGAAAATTTATTTATCAAAAATTAAAATTTTAAGGAAATTAATATACAAAATTATCAAAATTTAAATAACAAGATGAATCATAAATTTAATTTCCCATATAACAAAATTAATCACCAAAATTAGCAAAATTAATTTAAAAAATTTACCAAAATTAGCAAAATTACATTATGTTCAGGAATTAATAATTCACCCAAATTAATAAATTATTATTTCCAAAATTACCAAAATTATTTATTCATAAAGTAGGAAAAATAATAATCTTTGGTTAACTTTTATACCAAAATAAATAAAAAGTAACTTAGTGAAATTAATTTTGGGAATATACCAAAATTTAACAAAATTTCCAAAACCAATTTAACTAAATAGCGATAATTAACTTTCCAAATAACCCAAACTACAATAACTAAACTACCAAAAGTACGAACATTACCAAAATTTGTTTACCAAAAATTAAAATGTTTAGGAAAATTAATGCAAAAAATTATCAAAACTAACTAAATTACTTCACTTTCATAAATTAATAATTCACAAAAATTAATAAATTCGTAAATTAGAAAAATAATATTCCTTGGTTAATTCTTAATTTAATAAATAAAGAAAAATAAATTTTGGGAATATACCAAAATTTAACAAAATTTCCAAAACTAATTTACTTAAATTTCCATAATTAATTTTCCAAATAACCAGAATGACAGTAATTAAACTACCAAAAAGTACCAATATTACCAAAAATTAAAATTTTTAGGAAAATTAATATACAAAATTTTCAAAATAAATACAACAAAATCGTTCACAAATTTAATTTTCCATATAAATAAAATAATACCAAAATTAAAGTACAAAACTTACCAAAATTAGCAAAACTACTTTACTTTCATAAACTAATAATTCACCAAAATTAACAAAATTACAAAAAATAATAAATTAATAATTTCCTATATGTGAGCTCTAGGATACTCATGGTTGGCTCAAAAAGATGGAGTCGCCACCCATTTTTGGAGGAAATGGGCCCTCATTTTAAGATTTGAAAAATTCAATTCAAGTTTTTCATAGTGATTCCGTTCTCCAAGAAAAAGGCACACAATTGAGTGATTTCGGGTCCCAAGGATTGGGAGAGGGAAGGTATTAGGCACCCCTCTCTCCAAGTTGCTGTAGCAATCCAATACAGGAGTTGTTTGGGCTCAATTTATTTTGGAAAACTGATAAATACAACAGCTAGAATTTATGAAATCTGGAGAAATGTGCTCTCAGCTTCTCCTAAGACCGACTTTGAAAGTGATGTTATCGGGTCTTAGGTACTAATTTTCCTAAGAGCCTCGCCTTCTCTGCCTCTATACTCAATTTAGAAGAAGTAGAGAACAATGCTTCTCCAAGGTTACCTCTCGTATGTAACCTTGTCAATGGTGTTCCAGTAGTCGAACTGAACAAAAGAGTGGTTGGATGACCTCCAAAGAGGTTTGAAACTATTGAATGCTTGGATGTTTCATGCAGATTTCAAATCTCTCGTGTGTGACATTGAAACAAACTTTCCAGCAGATAGAAAGACTTTAAACAAAACTTGAGCGAGTTACGAAGATGGGCTGAGC